CAGGATCGCAGAGTGACGTCAAGTGGGTTTTTCAAGGAGGAGAGAACTGCATATGGACAGAAGTGGATGAGAGTACGGTAGATGTCGTGTATGATCAGTGGTCGGAGTGCTGAGCGAGGCGCACGGGTGGGAACTTTATGTTGATTGGATTCGCTTCGTGCTTTGTATGGAGGAACACATTGCACCGACCCGTTTGCTTCAGAAATAGACAAAAAGAGGCGAGTAGACTCTTTTGGCGAGATACCTTCTGAAAAATATACAATTTGGCATTTACTTACTAGTTTCCCAGAGTGTCATTCATACAGATGTTCTCATATTCGTCCGGTAAGCCGACCAAGCCTAACGAAGCGTAGATTGAAGTAGTAGCCCAGCCAACGAACAAGAGCAGCGTCTAATGGGTTCTGCCAAATTGTCAAACACTTCATTCTACATTCCTCCTCTCTGTACCGGTACAGCCAGAATCCTTCCCCAAGGCCGAAGGTCAGGCGGAACATCTCCGCCTTTTTAAACCTTTGCTCAATTCAACGTATACACTTTCGTAAAATACCATTCTAAACGAATTATATACATGTACAATAGCTTGAATTTCTGCTAGTCAGCATACATGATGAGCCCGTTGATATACATGATGAGTCCATTGATAGTTATACAGCCACGGGAAAGACTTTCATAAATTAAATTAAACCTACCAAAACTTGAAAAGAAAACAGCGCCCAATTCGAAAAAAAAAGCTGTATACGCATTCCGAGTGGAGGTCGCAGACGACCTAGCTGTCAATTCCGGTTTTATTTAAGAACGTGAAGTACAGGAATGGTTCATTCAGTCGCCAACTCACATCAACAGCGTTTATTATAGAAAACGTACCCATATGATCTTGGCATGAGCTGACAGGAAGTCGAAAACACCATTATAATATCGCCTAAGATATTCTATATGATTGATTCGCCCTCGACTCGATCATCCAAATTTAAAGTAGAACCCACAACATTGTGTTGCGTCTGCTAATCGAATGACATACTTCCTTTCAAGCCCCAGTCCGGGCCCCCGATTTGCTAACAAGCCCGCTATCTTCGAGAGCCCGGCTCCACTAAAAAAAATCGGCTCAGTACTCAAATAGAGCTTGTTGATTGGCTACTCTAAGTGATCCGGCTAATATAGAGCCCACGAAATACCGATGTTGGGCTCGGCTCGTCTCGTATGCTAAGCGAATTCCGGCTTCAGTCTCTGGTGTCATTGTTGGCGCTCAGTGAATTCATGAATTAAATGTTACTCGATGGTAATTAAATGAAGAGGTCATCCGTTTCTTACGCTTTTTGTATGAGCCCTCTTATTGTTGCTAGAAGTTAAACGTGAGAAAATGTAGGGTTTGCTTCAGGAAATGATGCTTGCTATTTTTTCTTACCTACTTTGCTATACCGGTATGGTGAAACATGCGTATACGCATCCTCTAACGTTTATTACTCACCGACGACTCCTCTCTCCCAAAACACTGACATTCATTCATGTAATAAACAAAAAATGATAACAAAATGTTGGCCTCCATTCCTCTTATCTCCCGTCTGTTACAGAACGTGGACGACATAACGCATCCTGGCATGACTTCAGCGGACATCACGGACTTACCATCCGAGTCAAGTGAGACGGTCCATGACATCCCAATTTGCGTTATTGCTCTTGTAGTGACCTATTATTAACGTCAATGTTTTTTTTACTTGTCATTCGTCAAGTTCTCCGCCATTGTTCATCAAACTGCTCAACACCCCTCTACAAACTTGAACCATGGAGTACTCAGACCATGCCAACCTAATCGAGACGGCCTTGGAGGCTTTAAAAAGTCAGCAGTTTCGCCTCAAAGTGCAGCGCCGACGTATGGTGCGCTGGCGCCACCAACGAAAGGAAAAGCTGGCTACCATCCGTGACGAGATACAGCGTCTGGAAAATGTCTTGGAGCAGCTCCTTTATAAGGCACAAACGACTCTGCATCAGCTATCTCCAGAATCCACGAGTGCAGCCTTGTACTGAGTTACGATCGAGAGGGCGGCGCTGCATAGAGACAATCTACAACTGCAAGATGCGATTACCCGTCACCTCGAAATTGAAACCAAGCTCAAGCGCGAAACAGGCCAGTTTAGACGCGATCTACACCAAGTGTCCAAGGTAAAGGCGACCTCGAGTCAACTCGCTTTAGACAGCGAAGGGTGGTGGGTGCACTTCCCGAATGGAGAGCCGCCATTCTTCTTCCATCCGATTCCCGAGGACGAGTACCTGGACAAGTTGAAACAGCGCGAGGTTGAATTACCGAGCGCCACCTATTCATCTCTTTACATGAACAACATGTTGGGGCGGTTACAGGAGATGACCGGCCGCGCCCTTTTCAAACAGGCTTGCGGGCCATTAGGAATAAGCGCCTGCCACGATTTTCTGAAAACGCCTTCGTTGTCTCGCTGCCAGAAGCTTCGCCAGACTTTAGAACGTATCGACATCAGTCAGTGGCCAAGAATTATTTCACCTCGGAGCTGGGGGCTTGAGCAGCGCGGTGATTCCTACTGCCAACCACTTCAGAAGTTTGTGAAGCAAGACGGTGTTGTGGTGTGGAACATTCCAGGCGACGTCCATCTTCGGTACATCGCTGCCGTGCAAAACAGGGTGTCAGTACTCCCAGATGGGAGACAGATGGCTAAGCACTGCATCATGATCGTGGACTCTGAAGCAAACGCACGAGAAGCGGCAGGATCGCAGAGTGACGTCAAGTGGGTTTTTCAAGGAGGAGAGAACTGCATATGGACAGAAGTGGATGAGAGTACGGGTAGATGTCGTGTATGATCAGTGGTCGGAGTGCCTGAGCGAGGCGCACGGGTGGGAACTTTATGCTGATTGGATTCGCTTCGTGCTTTGTATGGAGGAACACATTGCACCGACCCGTTTGCTTCAGAAATAGACAAAAAGAGGCGAGTAGACTCTTTTGGCGAGATACCTTCTGAAAAATATACAATTTGGCATTTACTTACTAGTTTCCCAGAGTGTCATTCATACAGATGTTCTCATATTCGTCCGGTAAGCCGACCAAGCCTAACGAAGCGTAGATTGAAGTAGTAGCCCAGCCAACGAACAAGAGCAGCGTCTAATGGGTTCTGCCAAATTGTCAAACACTTCATTCTACATTCCTCCTCTCTGTACCGGTACAGCCAGAATCCTTCCCCAAGGCCGAAGGTCAGGCGGAACATCTCCGCCTTTTTAAACCTTTGCTCAATTCAACGTATACACTTTCGTAAAATACCATTCTAAACGAATTATATACATGTACAATAGCTTGAATTTCTGCTAGTCAGCATACATGATGACCCCGTTGATATACATGATGAGTCCATTGATAGTTATACAGCCACGGGAAAGACTTTCATAAATTAAATTAAACCTACCAAAACTTGAAAAGAAAACAGCGCCCAATTCGAAAAAAAAAGCTGTATACGCATTCCGAGTGGAGGTCGCAGACGACCTAGCTGTCAATTCCGGTTTTATTTAGGAACGTGAAGTACAGGAATGGTTCATTCAGTCGCCAACTCACATCAACAGCGTTTATTATAGAAAACGTACCCATATGATCTTGGCATGAGCTGACAGGAAGTCGAAAACACCATTATAATATCGCCTAAGATATTCTATATGATTGATTCGCCCTCGACTCGATCATCCAAATTTAAAGTAGAACCCACAACATTGTGTTGCGTCTGCTAATCGAATGACATACTTCCTTTCAAGCCCCAGTCCAGGCCCCCGATTTGCTAACAAGCCCGCTATCTTCGAGAGCCCGGCTCCACTAAAAAAAATCGGCTCAGTACTCAAATAGAGCTTGTTGATTGGCTACTCTAAGTGATCCGGCTAATATAGAGCCCACGAAATACCGATGTTGGGCTCGGCTCGTCTCGTATGCTAAGCGAATTCCGGCTTCAGTCTCTGGTGTCATTGTTGGCGCTCAGTGAATTCATGAATTAAATGTTACTCGATGGTAATCAAATGAAGAGGTCATCC